CGGAGCCTGGGGGGGGGCGAGCAGCAGGTGCTCCTCTCCTGGTGACAGGAGGAGACCTGGTGGTCTCCTGGTCCTGAGGGGGGGGGGGGGGGGGGGCTGCAGGAGGTGGGGAGGGGGAACGGTGGGCAGCGCTGCCCAGCAGGCGCCATGTCAGCAGCCCCAGCTCCGTCACCTCCCCGGGATCCTTGGGCAGCCCCCGAGGCCCCTGGTGAGGCTGTAGGGACTCGGAGGGGCCCCGTTTGCCAGCGGTGCCCTCGCTCTGCGCCGCTCACCCCTTCACCTTCTGACCGCAGGAGATCCAGGAGGCAACCCCAACAAGCGCCAGCGGCAGCCCCCCCTCCTGGGAGACCACCCTGCGGAGTACGGTAGGCCGCTGCGGAGCCTGGGGGGGGGGGGGGGGGGGGGCATCAGCCCCCCCCCCTCACCCTGCCCTGGGATCCCCAACCCTGTCCTTGTGCCCCCCTCCCCAGGAGGACCCCACGGCGGATACCACGGGCATTACCACGACGAGGGCTACGGCCCCCCGCCGCCCCACTACGAAGGGAGGAGGATGGGACCCCCGGTCGGGGGGCATCGCCGGGGGCCCAGCCGTTACGGCCCCCAATATGGGCACCCCCCACCCCCACCGCCGCCCCCCGAGTACGGCCCTCACGCCGACAGCCCTGTGCTGATGGTTTACGGTTTGGATCAGTCCAAGATGAACTGCGACCGCGTCTTCAACATCTTCTGCCTCTACGGGAACGTGGAGAAGGTGAGCTGGGGGGGTGGGGGGGGGGCAGCCCCCCCATTCCCCTCTCCTCCCCTTCCCCCTTTGCACAAGGAGCGCTGTGTAACGCCGGGCGCCGTCGGCAGGTGAAGTTCATGAAGAGCAAACCGGGGGCAGCCATGGTGGAGATGGCGGATGGATACGCCGTGGACAGGGCCATCACCCACCTCAACAACAACTTCATGTTCGGGCAGAAGCTGAACGTCTGGTGGGCGCTGGGTGTGGGTAGGGGGCGATGGGAGCAGCGCCGGGGCTTCGTTAACCCCCCCCTTTGTGCCCCTGCAGCGTGTCCAAGCAGCAAGCCATCATGCCGGGGCAGTCTTACGGGCTGGAGGACGGCTCCTGCAGCTACAAGGACTTCAGTGGGTCACGCAACAACCGCTTCTCCACCCCTGAGCAGGCGGCCAAGAACCGCATCCAGCACCCCAGCAACGTGCTGCACTTCTTCAACGCGCCCCTCGAGGTGACGGAGGAGAACTTCTACGAGGTGGGC